TGCAACTGAACAAGGTGGGCAAGTGCATTTTGATGAGGTATTTCAACCTGAGGCAGAGGAAGGGGGTGCAGGTGGAAATACTGCAACAGGAATGATGAGGTCACATCAACAGTGGATGAATGTTATGTATGCAAAGATGAATGATTTGCAAACGCGAATGGCCAACATGGAGAACCTGCTGGTAAAAGARTTTGCCTTGCAGAAGCAAAGAAACAAGAGGCTCCAAGCTGCTTGTAATCGAGCTGCAATGGCACCAGTGGCAAGAAGGAGGGTAAGGCAACGTCTTGTCAATCCTGGTAGTAGTACTAATGCTGCTTCTGCTGGTGCTGGCGCTGGCGAAGAAGAACAGCGAGCAATCCTTCAAAGGAATCCTGCAAACTTGTATGTTATCTGGAATGAATGGGAGTGTGGCTTTGCTGGGAACAAACCAGCAAAGAACTTCACTGCAGTTGAAAGAAACTCAAAGGAAAACAAATTCGTGTACTGCAGGCGGAAGCCCTTTTGGCAATGCATTGAAAGAATTATAAGGACCAGGTCTGGAAATGCTCATGATGCCATCAGCACTGTTTACAGTGTTTACAGGCAGGAGAAGACTGTAACAAAGATCCTCAAGGCTCTTGCCAAGCATGAAAAGGAAGGAGGACACGCAATGTTGAGGTAGCTGGCTGGTTGATTGCTGCGTTGCTTCGACGTTGCTTTGCTTCGATTCGTTGCTTTGCTTTGCTTCGATTCGTCGCTTTGCTTCAACTCGTTGCTTCGGTTGCTTCCATTGCTTTGGTTGCTTTGGTTGCTTCATTGCTGCGTTGCTTTGGTTGCTTCGTTGCTGCGTTGCTTCGGTTGCTTCGGTTGCTTCGTTGCTCGGTTGCTGCGTTGCTTCGGTTGCTTCGTTGCTTCGATTCGTTGCTTCCTCGATTCATTGCTTTGATTCATTGCTATGCTTTGATTCATTGCTATGCTTTGATTCATCGCTTTGCTTTGATTCATTGCTTTGCTTTGATTCATTGCTTTGATTCATTGCTATGCTTTGATTCATTGCTATGCTTTGATTCATCGCTTTGCTTTGATTCATTGCTTTGCTTTGATTCATTGGTTCGATTCGTTGCTTCGGTTGCTGCGTTGCTTCGGTTGCGCTTCGGTTGCTGCGTTGCTTCGGTTGCTTCGTTGCTTCGTTGCTTCGATTCGTTG